AATCTTTTGATCATGCCACCTAGTGATGGTTATAATCGAAATTTGACAAATTTGGTGAATGTCGAGTGTTTTCTTCACTCTAAGTTCTAGAACTAGTTTGAATTATGGTTTGCTACCTCTAATGTTTCCAACTTTCTTTGTTTGAACAAATGTTTCATTAACCCTACGATATCTATTATATTGTTATAGATGTTTGATAATTATACTTATTTTTTGCATTTCTAAGTTTATAGATTGTTTCTATTTTTTCTTTTCTTAGATGATATGGTCCTTAAAATCATTGATTGAAGGGTAGGGGGATTCTAAACTTACACTAAGAGTGAGGCACATGCATGTAAAATCTTAGGCTCGAGCTTTAAACTTGAGACATGTTCATTACGTGGCTATAAAGCATGTTTTCCTAAGCCTATATTTGGAAAGTATACTCATGTCTTCTAGTCATTATTTGAGAAATGAAGTTATAAACTCCTCAAGATGGTTCGTGTCATTGAGTCAAACTTTTCACATGAAATTTAGCTCATTATATAGCAATCTAATCTTGTTAAACCCACCATTTCCTCATAAATTCATTTGTGTTTGCCTACAACTAGGTGTTTCATTAACCAAAGAGGTTTTTTCCACTCTTTTCTTTGTTATAGACAAGTAGAATAACACAAGTAAATAAATCAAAATAGTACACAAGAATTAGAGGCAACCAACTTTATTAACTCTTTAACAAAGAAATAACACATCTCTTGTGTGTTATATGTTACATAACCTTTATGGTTTATATATATATATATATATCCAAAAAAACTATCTCACCTTATAAGGATCAAGACAAGTTTTTTCTTTATAATAGTTAACTATCGAAGCCTTATTTGTTGCAATTTCTCTTGGTTTGTCACCTTTAATCCTGACATGCTAATCTGTCAGCACTTATGCTGCCAAAATACACAAGTAAATAAATCAAAATAGTACATAAGAATTATAGGCAACCAACTTTATTAACTCTTTATCAAAGAAACAACACATAGATTTCTCTTGAGTGTTATATGTTACATAACCTTTATGGTTTATATATATATATATATTACCATAAAAACTATCTCATAAGAATCAAGACAAGTCTAGTTAGTTTTTCTCTATAATAGTTAACTATCGAAGCCTCATTTGTTCTTAATTCTAACATGTTAATTTGTCAGCACCTATGCTGCCAAAATACACAAGTAAATAAATCAAAATAGTACACAAGAATTATAGGCAACCAACTTTATTAACTCTTTAACAAAGAAACAACATATAGATTTTTCTTGTGTGTTATATGTTACATAGCCTTTATGGTATATATATATATACACACCATAGAAACTACCTCATAAGGATCAAGACAAGTCTGGTTAGTTTTTCTCTATAATAGTTAATTATTGAAGCCTTATTTGTTGCAATTTCTCTTGGTTTGCCACCCTTAATCCTGACATGATAATATTTCAGCACCTATGCTACCAAAATAGTTATATTGTTTCATGTCTTGGATTGTCTATTATCTAAATTTAAACTCATATCAACCCACTATTCGCATAAGTTGTTATACACTGCTTACCTTATCTAAATTTAAACTCATATCAACCCATTATTCGCATAAGTTGTTATACACGACATCAATCTTTTAGTCGTGTCAACTGCTTATCTAATTTTTCATTGTCATGTCAGTAGATATTGTTTATTGCATCTTTGTAAAAATATTTTTGTTAGTGAATCATTTGCATGTTTAACCCTCTAATGAAACTCTCTTGTCAAAAAAAATTGGCAACCTTATCGAATCAGACTTAAAGTACCCTTACACCATATTTGTCAATTATTATAGATTTGTACCTCCTTCATAAAACCTTTTGGTTCTACTTGATTAAATCCATAACTCATTTTATTGATTTTGCTATAAGCAGATATTTTGACAATCTCATTGTTAACCTTTTTACCAAACCAAGGTTATAACATAATGTTTTTCTAGGATCTTGTTTGTTTTCCTATAGAGTCATGCCAAACCAAAATAATTTTGAGACAAAACCTAAAATGTTGAGACCAAACCTATAATCCTCTCTAAACAAATTTTTAACACTCCGCTATTATAATAGATCATGTCTTCAAAAATCATATGTAACCCCCTTAGTTACATATGCTAATTTGTCTATTTGTAAACCTGTTTTTATGAAGTTTGGACACTTCTTATAAACATTCTAGGACTCCATCCCTTTTTTAAAAACATAACCATTAGAGCTTTGGAAAAATCAAATAAACTCCTATAAACTCACCTAACTTTCCTAATAGTTTAATAAGTATCCCGCAATACGAGAATAAGATGTTATTGTTGCTTCCTCCACTAGAACAAATTTGATGATCAACAACTCTTTTGTGTTGAAGCTCTCTTAACAATTTTGAAGGCAACCAATCATTAACCTAACAAAGTATACAAGCAAATAACAACCTAACATCAATTTTATTTAAAATGGTTCTTTATTTGCTACTGCTATACCTAATACAATTCATCACCACCCATAAGATATTATCAACACAACAACCCGATTATTCCAACCATTGTTTCATGTTTCTTTTACCAAAATCCATCAATATGATAATACAAATAAAAAGGCCTAACCTTCTTCCATCATCATGATTTGTCCATCATCAAAATGTATAAAATCTTCACTAATTCAACCTTCTTCATCTTGGTTTATCCATCACCAAGATGCATAGAATATCCATTCTACTTCTTTCATCCCAATTCTCCCCATCATCATAATGCACAGAGCAACCCTAATTTCACCCCACCAAAAGTTGTCTAACCCAACTATATCTTTATCAATCAAGTTAACTCCTTCACAATTGAATTTTCAACTTGTTTATCAAGTGCACACACATGATTTATATATGTTGTTTACTTAACACTCTTCTTTAAAAAAATATAATTGTTTTTTTCTTTTTTTGGATAGTCCCTCACAATAATAATTCTCGTGAAAAATAAAATAGCATAAATTTAGCTTTGAACCCTTAGCTTTCTCCTTTGTTTTTGCTTTTTTGATGCTAATAGCGTGTTTAGATTCATCCCTACCAAGTTTCTTCTTCTTTTTCATCACCTCTTTTTCTTTGGACCTTGACAAAACTTCAGAAACTCTAGCATTCCCTCACAAGCCATTACATCAAAATCCACCAGTCTATTTACAACAAGGATGGTAGAAGATAAGTCTTTCACTTTTTATCATTTTAATTTTTCTTGTGCCCAAAGTTGCAATCTTAATAAAAAGTTGAAGAGTTTGTCTTTTTCAAACATGTTTTTATTGTCCAAAATGAGGGAAGAAAATTCTTTCACATAACCCCAAGCACTTGTATCTTGTTTTGACTTTTTCAAGTCTTCTCAGGTAAGCCATAACTTGTTATTTAGCAAACAAATTTCTTTTAATTCTTGTTTCAAACATTCTCATATGTCAATCTTGGCTTAACCATCATTCAAGTTGTTATTTATTATGGTTCTCCATCACAATTTCAAATCATTTGTCAAGTACATCACAATGATATTAACATATTCACCCACATCAACCATGCTAAAATACTGCTCCATATCCCATAAATTATTATTTTTTAATTCCTTGTAACTTCGCACACCACTAAATAGCTTCAATTTTGACAGTTTAGATTTGGATATGGAAACACCTATTATGGTGTTCACTATTGCCTTCTTCCAGATAAAAATCTTGTTTTCGACAACCTGTAACTTATGACTTCTCTCTACAACAAATTCAACATATTGTCCAATAATTGTTTTTGTGATTTCTACAACAAACTATGACCTACCATTGATCAAGCAATCTTCATCCTTAACAATATAACTAATTGGTTTTTAAGACTAATTGGTTTTTAAGACGTAAAAGTCTCTATTGAATAGTTTTTATTGGCACTTGAACTTTGACAAAAAGTTTTAAAATCAATAGCTTTGATATCACTTGTTACAAAGTCAAGTTTTTCACAAGAAATTCAATTTGTTATGTGGTAGTCTAGTCCCACTAAACTTTACAATTTCCTCACAAATTTACTTGTTTTTGCCTGCTATTAGATGCTTCATTCACCCAAAAAGGTTTTCCCCTCTTCCTTGTTACATACAAGCAGAATAACATAAATAAATAAATCAAAATACTACACAAGAATTACTAGCAAAAACCCAACCTTTATTAACTCTTAAAGGTAAAAACAAAAGTTTCTCGTGTGTGCAAATGCAATATAATCTGCATGCTACGCAACCTTTATGGCGTATTTATAGATAATCTATACAGAAGTTACAATAAAAACTACCTCAAAAAGATCAAGACAAGTCCAGACAAATTTTTTTTTCCAAAACAACTAATTGTTGATAACTGCCCTATAGTTGCAACTTCTCTCGGTCTACCACCTACTACCCTGCCATGCTGCATGTCTCGGATTGTTCCCAAGTCCAAACTCACGCTAACCCACTACTCACAGCCGTTGCCAATCAAATTTGCCACCATCACAGAGGCTGCCGCTGCCCATTGCCGCCCTCCGTGCATCTTTGGCATGTTTGACCCCCTAACAGTTGGCATATGGCGTGAACTTTCATGCGGCATTATATTATATGTGACGTTCATCCACGGATGCACCTTCTAATAAAAACTGAAAACATCTCCAAAATACGTGAAGATAAATGTATATATTCTAATAAAAAATGAAAACTATTTCCAAGAAACGTTTAGAACATGAGGAATTTTAATTCAATTGAAAGAACGTCTGGTGTTTACAGTGCACATGCTAAAAAATGCAGCACACTAATGAATTTGGCAACTGATCGTTGCAGAAACTCCTCATAATCAGAATGTGCGCAGACTAGGATTAAAGGGAGGATAATAAATATGACAATTTACATTTTTTTGGCTAAACAGAACGAAAACCTTCGTCATGCAGGAAAATAATAGGGCACCCTCCACGCACATTTCCTTCAGGGCAAAAGCACTAGTCATACAACTTAAATCAACCAAAATGAAAAAATCCAACTAATGATGTCAAAATGTTCAGCTATCATTTACAAACATTTAGGAGAAAAGAATTGTGTTTGCTATTGTTTGTTAACCTGCCAAAACCATATATCTGCCTCCAAACGAAGTGAAAAGGGAAAGATGCCATTTGCTTTGCAGCGCCAGTCACTGGGTTTTTGGTTTTTGAATTTTCACATACGGGAAAAATCCCATGAAGTGGGCAACTTTTGGATTCCAACCCAACTGCTGAGCACGACAAAACATCAGGCAAATGTTTGCAAAATATGAATTGAACCCCATCAAGACATGCCATAAAGCATGTCCCTCGGGGTTGAAGTACCACTGAGAAATGTTGTTGCAGAATAGGCGATCAAAAAGCCAACAAAGACTTCCCATGAAAATGGTAGCCAAATATAATTTTGCAAGCCGCTTTGCAGATGCATCTTTTGTGTAGATGTAGTACTTGTACATCCGGGGAACACAGAGAAGGCAAAGTATCACATAATGTACCTTGAAACCAATTCTTAAACGAACCAGTGCATGGACAATTGCAAATGCAGCTCCATAAAAGAACAAGAAGGTGGGCATCGTACTTCGGTAGTGCCAATCTGGAGAGTAAAGGATGTAGATGTACAAAAGCATTTCCCAAACCATTGGTGTTTCATCACCTTGCTGCTGCCTGAAATAGAGGGGACCAGATGCAATAAACTAATTTTCATATAACATAAAATTTGTTTTTAAGCAGATGAAGGACAAATTAGGGAGTTCAATGTTTTTGCAATTCTGGGGCATTCATTGGCAATTAAGGGAATAAAATAAGATGAGGCAATGCATTCCAGACGATAAACCCTATCATCCCACAATAAGATATGGAATTGAACACTTCTTTAAATCATCAGCACCAGCACCGCATCAAATCTAGCTGCAATCTGAAGAACCACCCTATTGAATTCTAGCCAATCACATCACACATACAATACAATGTCCTATCCACTCATTGGAATACTGAATCTACAACTTACATGTTTCTCAATCTAAAAACCATTTCCAATACTGAGTTCACAACTTGCTCCTTATTGTGCCCAAAGCATGATGTTTGCTGGTCAAGCACTATTATACCCTTAGTAAGTATAGGGATTGAATAAGAGGTAGGTTGGAGATGTATTTTTCTTCTCTTTTTTTTAACAATCAACTAATAGGGCATTCACAACAGAAAAAAGGCAGGATTGGGAAGGCACTAAGATGGAGTTCTAATTATACAAAGTACTTAAAAGAATAAGATTTTATCTGAATTTCATTCAACAAATAAAGAAGCCTCAAAGCATGGGTGCTAATTTCTTTACATAAAAAGGAAAGGAATTGGGGTGGGGGGTGGATTTGATAAAACAAACAGTCTTGATGAAAACAATATAGTGAGAACTTCAAGGGTACAAATCAATGGTTAATTGATCCTCCTTATTCTTTTGCTATGCTAGGAAAGCTCAAGGGCTCTTTTACATTAATATGTAAGGGGATGAAACCCAATACAAAACCAAGAAGCATGAATGATTGGTCAATCTACAAACTCCATAAAGAAACATCAACAAAGTATTTCCTTATGTGTAACTCCTTTCCCTCACTCCCTCAACAGTAGCCCACAGGCAGAGGATTCTATAGAATGACCAAAATGCTTAAATGGCTACTATGCACGAACATAAAATCAACTTATACAGAGATGTAAACACCAAGAACAAGAGCTTTTGTGCATGAAAGTCTTAACATCTTACAGCATTGTATACCATAAATTCAAAACCAAGAACTTTTTAAGAATTTTATCCATCTAAAGGAAAATACACACACACTTCTACCTACACAATAACAGGTTCCATGGGCAAAATATAGGAGCAGCTAACCGTCCAAATATTATAGAAGCAGTTGAGAAGAAGATGATGAAAAAGATAGGAGAATAGAGAAGAGTACTCACATGTGTTGCAAAGTGGCATGGTATAACATACTTCCAATGGCAAGTATCATATTAGATATGTGAAGTATACTAAACCTCTTCTCGAACCGTTGTCTGAAAGCATTTATAAGGCCAACGAGTGCCAAAAGAATGCCTGGGATATTTGATATGGTGTTAAAAAACTCAGCAATATAAGATGAATACACATAATTTTTTTCACACCATTCTGCAGATGTTACAGGGCCCCAAAAGCTCGATATTCCTTTTGCCATTGTTCAATGTATATGCACAAAGTGTATGATAATTCAACTCATACACTTTCAGCTAGAATATTGAAGGGATCATAACCTGCATTATTGTGATATAAGAGATGAGACAGTGAACCTTAGAAAAATAAATAAATAAAAAGAGAAAGAGAAAGAGAGAAAAGAGAAGAAAAGGGAGGTAATAGATCCTGTCCCCCATAACTAATTGTTCATTGCGTGCCTAATCTTCCCAGTTTACTCTAATGCAAAAATACATTTGTTTCACTTTGAGGCCCAAACAGTGTAGCAGGTAGCAGTGCAGTTGCAAGTTTGCCACTAAGATGTAAGCAGTTGGAACATTTAAGAATAAACAAAAGCATGTAGGGAATTATATTCACAACAAGGGAAAGAGGAGAAAGTGAATTTTCCTTAATGACTTGCATATGTATGCATATAAGTAGAATCAGAGCAAAAATAGATCTTCTCTCGCATGTTCAGCATGTTCAGACACTCTGTATGCATGGTGGATCCTCTTTCTAATTAATATCCATAGCTGAAATACTGAGTATAATATCTTCAGGGTCAGATGCTATTAAAATAATCAAAACAAGGTTTAGGGAAACAATTATTAATCATTATAGGGGATGAAAAAAAAAATGTTGTTTTCCTCTATATCTAGAAGTTTCTCTGACTGCATACATCACTGCATGCAAACTACTTCTCTTTTTAATAGCCTGCATTAATAGGGATCTGCATCCACAGCCACCACTCCAAGTAATAGTACTAGAACTAGAAAGCATCCTATTTAGTGATGCGATGCTGATACTGACTTCATACACCATAACCAGACATATTTTGAATAATTAAGTGGATATTTAATCAATATACAAAGACAGAAATGCTAAGGTAGTTTGCTTTCTAAATTCTTGGCAAAATCAACAGTCACAACAACAGCAATTCAAATACATGGAAATGAATCAAATATCTAACATCTAACAAGAACTTGCAAAGTATAGAGGCAGCTTCAAAGCATTCATAACCACGTTGAAGTCCTAAAGGTAAGATAACTCATAAAGCACTGGTCACCAAATGAGCTATTTAGCAATTTATCATGGTGGAAATTAGCAACTCAGGACAATTTTTGCGTTCATGAAAAAGAAAGAAAAATTTCAGGTCACAGTTTAGTAGACGGGACTCCTGTTTCCTCCATTTAAAGGTTTCCAATACATCAACATCCAAGTGTGATCTCAGATTACATGGAAGTCTACTTAAATTAGAATTAAACAAAAGAAATATAAATCCATCTAAACTAAGTCCAAAATATCAATTCAGTAAAGCATTAAACAGTATCCATCCTTTTTAAGCATAACCATACTTACTACCACTGGGCTTCTCAATGGTGCATTTACTGCTCCAAAACATGATAGCAAGCAATACAACTATCGATTATCAAGAAAATAAATTTGCATACAAATTGCCAGCTTAACAAAAACAAAACAGTTGCAACACACAAGGGCAGATTCACCTGAGTTGAGAACTGCATCGAACGGCATTGACACACGCATAATAATAAGAACCAAAATGGAACTACTAAAAACTAATCTTCACAGCATTCATACAACAAGACTAAGTAATAATGCATGGTCCAATACATTATGCCAAAATCAATGTACAAAGAAACCATAACTACGATTTTGTTCCTAAGATAAGAAATCGTAACATAACAGAAATCCGATTCCCTACTATGCATTCTTCTACTACTCGATACACAAAATTTAGTTATTTCTCAAATAATTCTCACTCATCTAACCCTAAACATTATACAAAAAAAAAAATACCACGTAGCATAATCAGTATCAAAATTCGCCTACATTACATACCTAAAGCAAAAGAGAAAGTGAGAATAATAATTGAGTGAAAAACTAACCTTGTAGCAATCAGATCTGTTCTATATTGCAACGACTCTTCCTTGTTCAAATAATTGGAATAATAACGAATACGGCAACAGCAAAACGGAGCAGAAGCCAATTCGGGAACGGTACGGGAATGGTTTAGGGCTTTACAAAGTGACTGGGCGCGTGGAGAGAAGGGTTTTTTTAAAGGGAGCGTTTGAGGACACGTGTAAGATAAGGGATTCGTTGGATTAGATTTGTGAGCGGTTGGGATTGCTTTGGTCTAGGAACTCTATCACCTTTCACTAATCGCTAATAATTGGACTCATTGGACGTCGCGTGTTGAATACGTGCTGCCCCATCTTATTTTCTATTAAATTCTAAATAATATTTTAGTTTGCTTTGGTGTTTTTTTTTTTTTAAATGTTACAATAAATTTTGATGTTAAACTAATTTGTTGTTGGATTGGAAATATATATGATTTAAAATAGGAATTTACTAATTTTATTTTTAATTAAAATATAAAAATAAATTAACTTTAAATTAGAGTAATTCAACATAAATAAAATATAAAAATATTTAAAATATAAAAGGTTTTAAAATAAAGAAGAAAAAAATAAATAGCATCTACGTCATCAACATAAAAATAAAAATATTGATGTTGTGATAGTATGTAAAAAACTAATTATCAATAAAAGTTTCTAATAAATGATTATTTCTAATAATTTCATTATTGTTATCCAAATAGATCTTTTTCCCTTCTAAAATCAAAGTACATCACGGTGTCTCAATAATCTTTCACTTTAAATTCTCTTCATCGAGAATTTTATATTCTTCATATATTCATTTATTCAATAAAAATCAATGTTATAAATATTAATGGAGTTTAAAGTATCTCTTTTATTCAATAAAAATCAATGTTATAAATGTTAATGGAGTTTAAAGTATCTCTTATTATGCTTTAATTTATATAAAATACAAACATGAATATAAACTATATATATTAGTGATAAATTTAATTTAAAAAATATTAATATTAATAAAAATAGCAATAATCAATTTCAATATTATGAGTTGTGTGATAATATCAATATTTTATCCTTATTGAATTCTAAAATTATAATGATTAAATATCTAATAATCTAATTTATTGTTCTCTAACTAATTATTATTAAATGATATTTTTTCTTTACTTTTCAGATAATAAAATGATATTTTAAATTTTTCAAACTTTTATCCAAAATAAAATAAATAAAGTAAATTCAGAATATCTTGACCAGAATTTGAATGAGAAATTTAAAATATCTAATATCCTAAATGATATGAAATTTATCAACTTTATTTTAGTTTTAAAAATAATATAATATATATGCTAGAACAAAATATAAATTATAACCTTGTGATTGGATCATTATTACTTTTTTCCTCAAATCTTAAAAATACAAACAGACCATAAAATGTAGTTTTAATTTTATTAATATTTTATACATTTTTACCTTTAAGCTTTCAAAACTTCTCAATTAAAAACTTTTATTAATTTTTTTTAAAACATATATCCATATTTTCACTTGCACCTTTTATTTTATAAAAAATGATATCATTTTTTATATATATATATATATATATATATATAAAACTCAATATTTATATTAAATAATTTTTTATAAAAATCCTTATAAAGAAATAAAAATAGTATAATAATAAAAATGATACTATGTGCAAAAATTTAGATTTCCAGCACCTATATGAAGCTTGTCTTAATTGATTTTTTATAAAATCATTTGTTATTTTTTTTAAATCCTCAATCAATCATGGAGCCACTAAAGGACAAAAGAAAGACGGCAATTGCTCTCTTAACTTTTTTACTTTTATATTAAAATATTAATATATTAATTTAGAAAATTATTACTAGAAAAGAAAAAAAAATCTGTTATTGTTTATAATTATTGATACGAAAGAGAGAGACAGAAAACAATAACTTATAACAAAAAACAAATTTATGGAATGAGTTATATATACATACATATATATAATACATACATACATATATATAATACATGTATGTATTATATATATGTATGTATATATAACTCATTCCATAATTTTTTTTTGTTATAAGTTATTTTTTTCTGTCTCTCTCATATGCAAATTTCTTATTAAATATAGTTAAGTAATTGATTTTTTTATTTTTTTATTGTTTAATTTTAATTTTAATTTTAATTTTTATAATTAGTTATTAAAAATATTAGGATTTATGATAATTTACGAGTTTTGATATAAATATGTTCAAAATAAATGTTTAAATCTACTAATTTAATCGATTAAATATTTCTTTTCTTATTATAAAGTAATAAATTAATATTCATGCAAAACCACTATTCTTGACATCTCTTGTATTTGCAGAGTAGTTTATTGAAATTTAATATTTTTCACATAACTTGTTTGTAAGTAAAATATCAAGTAGAAAGATTTCTCTTACACATACACTAGGCATTGCTCATCAATTAAATATCTAGAAATGATTAAATATAATTTAATCAACATACTTATTATATGCATATAGATATGAATTAAAATATGTTTTAATTTTGATGAATCGATGTGTATTTTACAATGAATTTTATATGAAAGATTTAAAATTACTGTGTAACTCAACTGATTTTTATTTAATAGTAAACTATTATGTAGTTGTGTTAATTATTATATAGACACTAATAATGATAAAAAAATCCAGCAAGTTCATATTATCAAGAGTAAATTGCGGAATAGGATGAGAGATAAGTGGATGAATGATAGTTTGATTATATACATTAAGAAAGATATCTTCAATAAAATTGATAATGAAGTTATTATGAAACGGTTTTAAAATATAAAAACTTGAAGAAAACAATTATAATGTAAATTTTTTCAGTTTAAAAGTATTTTTAAATTAATTTTACTTGATATGAATTAGTATATATGTTTTGAATTGATTTCTAATGCATGTCTATATAATATAATATTTGTTAATAATTTATTCTCTTATTAAAAAAACCCTGGCTCCGTCATTGTCCTTTATATAATAGATATTTTTATAAACATTGTTTAAAATTTTTTAGAAATGCGATTCAATTGAAAAAAAAAAAGGAGATGAAATAAATAAGGTTGTACTATGTACAAGATGAATGTAGTAAAATTATGTAAATATTAAAATATTATTTTAATGTTATTTGATAATTAAATTTAATTAATTACACAATCTTATGAATTTTATTAATATAAAAAGTTATATAAGTAAATTTCATTAAAGTACATGTACTAACCTTTTTATTCATTAAAAATTGTGGAAACCAATTATTTACATCATGCATTATCTGCCAATTTATCAAAATAAAACCCATTTACTATATATTTTCAATTTCAATCAATCTAGTATGATTTATCTAAATTGATAAATTGGGAGGGTAGAGCAACTGATGATATTAGAAGTAATGTAAGAAAATTTATATAGGGAAGTTCATATAAATTTTAAATTTTTAAAAATTATAATTAATTAGATTAAATTGAAAATACACATATTTTTTTTAATTGATAATAAATGACTTATTATGAATGGGAAAAGACATAGGGTACAAATATAGTGATTGTAGCCATTAAAATTGTGTCCATGTTAGGAGGAAGTAGGAAACAAAATTAAAAAAAAGTTGGCATGATTTTGTAACATAACCTAAAAAATTAAACACCAAGTTAAACATATTTTATTTATTTATTTATTATTATTATTAATCAACTCTTCTTGTGTGAAGATAATGTATTAAAAGAAAGTATAATATTACTTTGTCTTTCTTTACTTTTCCATTTATACATCCTAATAATGAATACCTAATTTTCCTTCACTCTTTTTCAATCAAATAAAGAAATTTTCACTCCATTTATTTTCATTCTTAGATTGCCATACACATTATTATTATTATTATTATGTAAACAAATCCTGAATCACCGATGGGGAGGACAGATGTAGTTTTTGAAGTGAGAAAGCCAGACTATTGTTAATGGCTATCTTGGTGTTTTTGTATTTTAAAAATATCATATCTTGGTGTTTTTGTATTTTAAAAATATAAATTTTTTTTAAAATAAATATTTTTTATATATTTTTATATTATTTTGATATATTAATATTAAAATTAATTGGTAAAAAATAAAAAATATTATTTTAATATATTTTTAAATAAAAAATAATTACAATTACACACTCACTCAACCCGTAGCAGTGAGAGTGCTTTTGGCTGGTTTTTTTGGAAGCAGGGCATAAGCTAATGTCTAAGGAAAAAAAAAAAATCGGAGTTGAGCACCTTTCTTCCTCTATGACTTATATTTTATGTCTAATTATCGAAAGAGAAGACATAAATTTTGTTCATGTGTAAGGTGATAATGAATATTACATGTGGTTAATAGATTAATTATAAATGACTATGACTTTGATATCAGTCATATAAATATATTTATTTTTAATAAAAAATTTATTTATTTTTAATATTTATTAAATATATAATTAATAAATTTAGAATAAAAATAAAGTTTTTGTAACAAAAATATTTTATAAAGAAAATTATAAAGTTATTATAATTATAGAATTTATATATATTACATCAAAGTATTGTTTTTAAATGTTTATAATCAATACTCTATTAAAACTATACATTACCTAGAGTAGTTGAGATTAATATATATTATGTTTTTTTCTTTATGAAATAAAACAATTATTCTTAGAAGTTAAGTTATAAAAGATATCTAGAACTAATACATAAATATTTATTAGGTGATATATATATTAAATTGACCTGCATGAGAGTTTCATATGCATGAATCATGTATGTCGATGAAAAGACATGTTATAGTTGTGGAAGTAATCCTTAGAATTTAAATTAATAATTTATCATATATATGAAATATTACGCTTTGATCTTGCAATATATTGTCCTAATCAAGAGTAATAAACATGTATATATTGAGTATAATATTAAATATATAAAAATATTTGAGTAATTAAGTGAGAATTCATCATTCTATTCTAGGTGAATTAAAAAATTCATATTTGTTCTCAGATAGTATTAATTTCAAAAGAGTTTCAAATCTTAATCAAATATAACTTTATTGTAAATAAGTTTTAGAAACTGGAGACTAGAATGTAATTTATATATAGAATTACA